ATACTAACATGGAGTATTAATAATCCCCAGCAGAGGGAGCTTCACCCTTGTCGTTTCAAATATATGAAGTCAGAAGTCCCACGACGCCAGGTTAGAGTCCAACAGGTTTATTTGAAATCCCAAGCTTTCGGAGTACTGCTCCTTTCTCAGGTGACTTCATCTGATGAAGGAGCCGTGTTCCGAAAGCTTGGGATTTCAAACCCGTTGGACTATAACCTATGTCCATCCCAGTCCAACATCAGCATCCCCACATCGTAAATAAATATGTGAAGGTTCAGAAAATCCATTTACTCAAACCAATCAATTGCTGTCTCTCAGTAAACACACTGTCATAGTATACAGCTACATCTGAAACTAATGTAATGCCGTTGCCTGTGCTATTCTCCCTTGCTTTAAACCTGCTGCCTGTTCAGTTGAGCTTGATGTAGACTTAACACTATGCTTTCACGCAACATGTAGTGACTGGATTTTGTGTTAGCTTTAATTTTCTACTTAACCAAACATCAACTCTACGGGTGATATTCAGAGAACTTAGAATTTCTTTGAAAAGTTTTCATGGGATGTGCACATCATTTATTATTTATCCCTAATTTCTCTGGAGGAGTTGATGAAGAGGAGCCTTCTTATAGAATGAAGGGAATAGACAAGCTTGAAGCAGGGAGGTTGTTTCCACTAGCGGATGAAACTAGAACGAGGGGGCATAGCCTCAAAATAAGGGGAAGCAGATTTAGGACTGAGTTGGGGAAGAACTTCTTCAGCCAAAGGGTTGTGAATCCGTGGAATTCCATGCCCAGTGAAGCACTTGAGGCTACCTCGTTGAACATTTTTAAGGCACAGATAGATTTTTGAACAGTAAAGGAATTAAGGGTTGTGGTGAGCGGGTGGATAAGTGGAGCTGAGTCTCAAAAAGATCAGCCTGGGTCTTATTGAATGACGGAGCAGGCTCAAGGGGCCAGATGGCCCACTCCTGCTCCTAGTTCTTAGATCTTTTGTCTTATCAACTCATCTAACTTGCTACAAATATTGGCTTCATTCAGATTAAGAACCTTAAGCATTGCATTTTTAACATTATTATTTACTCTGGTTCTAATTGCTACTGCACTCTTTGTGTAGAGTGCACTCTGCACTCTACTATTTTCACCACTTGCTGTCATGCTTTGATTGTGCAGAATAGTCTAACAGTGTCGTTTCTTCCAGCTTTGCTACCCATACTTCTGAATAATAGCAAATGTCCCATTCTGCTGAAGGGCTTCCAATTAGTCAAGCTGCTTTTGACTCTTCATTTGAAACACTACTGCATGTTTATTCTTCACTCCTTATAAAGCAGTCAGTCTTTACTTTTGCAATCACATCTTTGGCTGCGTTGAATGTTAAAAGACTTATCATAAGGGGAGATGATGGCCTCATGGAGATCGCTGGACTGTTGATCCAGACCCCTGATGTTCTTCTGGTGAACCTGGATCGGAATCCCACTACAGCAGAATATATAGTAGAATTTGAATTCAATTATTTTTTAAAAAGCTGGAATTAAAAGTCTAATGATGGCCAAAAATTAAATGTCAGGAAAACCCCACCTGGTTCACTAATGTCCTTTAGGGAAGGAAACTGGCTTCTTTACCTGGTCTGAATTACATGTGACTCCAGACCCACAACAATGTGGTTGACTCTTAACTGCCCTCTGGGCAATTAGGGATGGGCAATAAATACTGCCCTAGCCAGTGACACCCTCAACCCATGAATGAATTTAAAAAAATGAAAAATCTTTCTGCAGAACTCTGAAGCATCAGGCACAAAGTGTGGCTGTGACAAATATTCATTGTAGCAAAACAGATGAAAAACAGCATACTGTCCGTGCTTCACCATGTGGATCTCCGTTTTGTATCTCTTGAGTTTTCCTCAACATTCTGGTCAATGCACTTTCCTAGAACCAGAGGTTCAGGTTTTTTAAAAAATTGTACCAAGACCTTCAATCACTGATGCTCAATCCATGCTAATTCATTATCCCAAATAACAAGAGATCCTATCTGTCCAATCTCATTTATCTGCTATCTTACCAAATGTCTTCTGAAAATCCAATACACCACATCTACCAGTTCCCCTTTATCAATTCTGCTTGTTATATCCTTAAAAAATGCCAACAGTTCTACAACAGAACCCAACATGGTATGATGGGCCAAATGACCTCTTTCTGTGCTGTATCTTTCTAGATGCAACTCTAGACATTGTAGACACGCTGACAGTCTATGTGGCTAAGTTAGAATGCTCAGTGTGCTATGAGAAGGAGCAGTTGATGTTAGATAAACATATGAGGGAGAAATAGAAGATAGTGCTGATTGACTTAGAGATATAGTCATTTGGTAGAGGTTCATGCACATAAAGTATCTAATGTTACCGGTTGATAATTCAAGTCAGCAATGGGGTTCAATATCAGAGCTGGGAACTATTTCGTCTTCAGTGGATTCTCAACCAGTAAATCAGACATTTTCTTCTGGTTACACATACCAACAAATGCATCAAAAGAAACAACGGAATTCAAATTTTGAATCAAAACTACTGTCAGTTTGCTGTCTCTGAATTTCTCTGACATTCATGCCTGTGTTATTATTGTTCTTACTTCAGTGGCACAACACAATGACTGAATCTATCTCGCAATAGCAGCGAACTGGAACCGGGTTAAGGTGCAGTGACAATACTTATTCTCCAAATGATCTTCACAGCAAGCATTGGGCCCCTGTGGTAATGTGAGTTTGAGATAAAGGGACAACCAATGGAACATTCCATGCATTTGTTGATGAGACTAACAGGTATCACCCAGGAATGCAAAATATCTACAAACACTGCAATTCTGAGCCATGTGAGTGGCATGGTGGCTCTATGGGCTCCACTGCTGCTTCACAGCAGTGGGGGCCCGGGTTCGATCCTAGCCTCAGTAAACCTATAACTTGTCTCTAAGTGAAGAGAATGAGCACTTGATTAACCTTCATGAGGCAGATAGGGACACTGTGTACCACAGCTGGCTTGTGTATGTGCTTCACAAATGGCAGTTGAACCAAAAGCTTGTGTGTCAGTGCAAAAAGCAATTATGAAGTTAAATGCAATATTGACCTTTCAGTTAAGACACTTCCATGTAAATAAGTGGAATTTATGCTTCAGTTATTCAAAGCCTTGGTCAGACTCCATCAGAATTCAGTTTTGGATTCCAGCCCAAAACAGAACTGGAGTGATTTACAGGAGGGTGAATCCAGGACCTACACTTGGAGGAACTGACTCAGAAAAGGCAGTCAATGGACATTGAAATAATTTGAGAAAAGTTAAGACTTGGATCTTGAACTTAGTTACTTGCAAAGACCAGCAGTTGAGAGAAGCAGCTGTGATGGGATTATAGCTTGGAGCTTTAGAGGGTGAACGGAACTGGGGACCTGAGAGGGATGTCAATAGGCCACGTTCCGTAAACTAATAAAAAGCGCATTGGCCGCTAACTGCATTTCCAGTGGAATGACAGCCTCATAGTCAAACAGTAGACTGAGATTGTACATAAGGTTATTCAATTTAACTGGGCAGAGGATAAGCAGTGAAGCTGGAAACAGAGACAGGAAATTGTTGTTGCCTTTAAATTGGTTGCCACTGAGCAGAAAGAAATTGTGTCTTATTGAAGGTAGGCAATTGGACAGTGCATAGCAGTGCCTGAGTAGAATTGAACAGTCATAAGCTTCTAAACAACAAGCCTCGGATTTCAGATCAACTCACAGGCGAGAATGTAGACCAAGAGTCAGCAAACTGGCATCAGTTTGGTGACACAATTCTCTGTTTATGTTATGCGACTACATTTTTCCAATTTGACCCCATGACTATCTACAATGCTGGAAGGTGTAGCTCAATGTTAGAACATTTGCCTGCACTGCAGTGTCCCTCTGTTCAACTCTGGGTATCCTTTCCCTGTCATTTATGATGCATAACATCATGTTCACCAAACCAGCTGTCGAATCGTGTCAGTCAATGATGAGAACTCTACAGAAAAGCATTGTGTCAATTGTACACACCAGCAAAAAAAAAAACAATGTCCAATCATTCTTGAAATGGCTCTAACTCTCTCTCACCTTTCCACTATTCCTAAGTTCCCTGTGCCATTGGCTATTTGATCCTCAAATGTAGAAGCTAAAATGTGACTGTAAAGTATGAATAAGTGAAGCTGTGTGGTGCTATATTTCTGTCCAGCTCACTAAGATCTTCATCCCTTACATTTGGACTATAAAGAGGCAAAAATTGAGAAAGTAAGCAACTTTTAAAAAATTCATTCACAGGATGTGATCATTGATGGCTAGGCCAGCATTTATTGCCCATCCCTAATTACTAAGAGGGCAGTTGAGAGTCAACCACATTGCATTGGTCTGGAGTCACTTGTAGACCAGACCAGGTAAGATGAAGGGTCCAGGCCCGAAACGTCAGCCTCTCTGCTCCTATGATGCTGCTTGGCCTGCTGTGTTCATCCAGCCCTGCACCTTGTTGTCTCGGATTCTCCAGCATCTGCAGTTCCTACTATCTCAGGTAAGGAGAGCAGTTTCCTTTCCTAAAGGACATTACTGAACCAGTCAGGGAATACTGGAATAACAAGTTGAGAGCTGGATGAACACAGCAGGCCGAGCAGCATCAGAGGAGCAGGAAGGCTGACGGTTCGGGCCGAGACCCTTCACTGATGCAGATCATGAAGCATCTGTGGAGAAAGAACCAGAGGGTAAATTTGATACCAGCATATGCCCATGGATTAAAATATCAGTGGAAAAGTTGACTGTGTTATCTCGATCCTGAGTTTACATTTTCTCACTCACTCTTCACATCCCTCCTGCCTCCAACTCAAAGTTCTGCATATGCTACATATACACACAATGAGAGTTCCACATACTTCTCACTATCTGCAAAATTAAAGTGATTAAACAGTTTGGAACCAGGATTGCTGACTTTTAGAACAACAAGATGTATTTCAGATTATGACATTCCTGTTCTTCATCTCCGATGTTGTGTTGTGCTGTGGACTGTTTTATTCTAACACGACAGCTGCACAGGTGAGGAAGTAGCTCAGTACTAGAGCATCTGATTACTTATCAATGTGTTCCCCATTTCAAGTCTGTGTGCATTCTTTCTAGTCTTTATTAAGGTTGTCCAACTCTCTTTCTACAGGGGTCTGTTGTGCCACCGTGGGAGTGCCCTCAGAGATGTGCCATCTGTCTGAACAGGGTTGATTAAAAGGAAATCTAACTGGAGCAATCAAGAACATAATGTTGCATGAGCTGTTTGGTTGCCTTATTGAAAAAGCAAGACTTGGTACAGTGTTGTTTCATAGAACATAGAACTGTACAGAATAAAAACCGAAAGAACTGCGGATGCTGTAAATCAGGAACAAAAATAAAGTTGCTGGAAAAGCTCATCAGGTCTGGCAGCATCTGTGAAGAAAAAAACAGAGTTAACGTTTCGAGTCCGGTGACCCTTCCTCAGAACAGGTTCTGAGGAAGGGTCACCGGACCCGAAACGTTAACTCTGTTTTTTCACCTTACAGATACTGCCAGACCTGCTGAGCTTTTCCAGCAGCTTTGTCTTTGCATAGAACAGTACAGCACAGGAATGGGTCCATTGGCCCATGATGTTGTGCCGAACATGACGCCAAATTAAGCTAACCCCTTCTGCCCGCCCTTGGTTCATATCCCTCCATTCCTTGCATATTCATGTGTTTATCTAAAAGCCCTTTAAATGCCTTAATCATATCTGCCTCCACCATCACCCCTGGCAGCACATTCCATACTCCTACCACGCTCTGTGTAAAAAAACCTGCCCGTCACATCTCCTTTGAACTTTCCCCCTCTCACCTTAAATGCATGGCCCTTAGTATTAGACATTTCAGCTTGAGGAAAATACTCTGACCGTCAACCCTATCTATACATCTCTTAATTTTATAGACTTCTATCAAGTTTTGCCTCAGCCTCTGCCACTTCAGAGAAATCAACCCATGTTTTTCTCGCCTCTCCTTAGAGCTCATATCCTCTAATCCTGGCAGCACCCTGGTAACCCTCTTCTACACCCTCTCCAAAGCCTTCACATCGTCCCTGTAATGTGGTGACCAGAATTGAACGCAATACTCTAATTGCGGCCTAACCAAAGTCTTATAAAGTTCATTCTTGACTAATTTCTGCAATTCATTCTAGATTTTCTCCTGCTTTCCAATCCCAGGGAAATTGGACCATTAACCACAATGAACCATATCATTCTGAATGAGTCAACTGCAGAGCTGAGTCTAGGGGCTTTATGTCTATCATACAGAATTATTGTCTAATTCATGATAACAGCAGCTGTAGCCACGTTAACTTCTCACAGTTGAAGTTTGACGGCTCTCTCCATAATATTGGCACTGCATGCATCATCTTTCAGTACATCAGCACTTTGCTCAAAACACTATGCAAAGGATTTGAACCAGATGTGGAAGAAAGTAGAATGTAAGATTAAGGTTTAACAACTCTTTATCCTTTTTTTGTTCAATTCTTAAAGATACGTTTGTTTTGGACCATTGGATTCTCTGACGGTAAAGATGGCAGTTTCCTTCCCTAAAGGGCATGCGTGGCAGGATTTGAACCTGGTTCTCCAGAACATTACCTGCGTCTTGAGATTAACAGTCCAGCGAAAATGCCACTAGGCCAGCAGCCCCCCAATTCATTGTCAGTAAAGCGATTTGTGTGGGAGGGAGTCACAAATGGTGCTAAATAATATATTTTCGTCTATGATCTCCTTTGGAATTCTTTCGCTGAAAGTGAAGATGCCCATCTTTCCTCAGTCTTTTCCTCATGGCTTAGGCCTCAATTTTCAGCAATAAACCTCATGGTACTCTTCCAAATGCTTGATAACATCTTGATCACCAGGCTGAGCCTTAACCCGATTCTGATACACTCACCACCCAGTCACTCAGACAGGCCCGAGAATAGATTTACTGCTGCTGACCTGCATTGATTGGATACGATCACTGCTTCCAGAACGTGGACTTCATCAAGACACCCTCCGTGTTCAAGCGAAGGCAAGTACCCGGAAGAGGGCAGCAGAGCGGTGATGCTGATCGGTTGACGTGGTGAAGAGCTGCATCAGTGCAGTCACTGCTTCCAGAAGGTGGTTTGCGGAGGGGCTGTTGTCAAGTAACAGTAAATTAATTTACTTTGTTACGAATGCTGAGGGTGGCTCAGTGATTTGCATTGCTGCCTTACGGAGCCAGGGATCCGGGTTTGATTCCACCCTCGGGCAACGGTCTGTGTGGAGTTTGCACATTCTCCCCGTGTCTGTGTGGGTTTCCTTCCAGGTGCTCTGGTTTCCTCCCGTCAAAGATGTGCAGGTTATGGTCGATTAGATATGCTAAATTGCTCATGGTGTCCAGGGATGTGCAGGCTAGGTGGATTGGCCATGGGAGATGCAGGATGACAGCGAAAGGGTAGGGGATGGGTCTGGGTGGGATACTGTTCGGAGGGTCAGTGTGGATTCAATGGGTTGAAGTGCCTGCTTCCACACTGTAGCGATTCTATGATTCTAATTGATCACACATTTTGAAGTAAATGACTGAATAACCATTACACAAACTTGGCTGCATGATGACTTGGAGATATTGCATTTTGTTCCCTCATATAAATCATTAATATATTGTGAATACCTGGGGTTCGAGCTTTGGAGTGTTGAATGATATTCGAGAAGAAAATGAATCCAAATAAAGATGAACGGGGAGCGGTGATAATTAAGGACGGCAGGTACACAAGAGTTAGACGTGATCTTGGTTCAGGAGATCAAGAAGCAGAATCAGTTTGGGTGTAGATAAGGGATAATGAGAGAAAGAAGTCAGAACACTCTACAGGCCTTGTAACTGTAGCCAGATATATAGGACAAAGCATACAATAAAAAAAAGATTGGATGCTTGAGCTCAAAGGAGAGCAATAATCATGGGGAACTTTAGTCTGAATGTTAACTGGAAAAATCAGATTTGTAACAATAGCCTAAATAAGCAGCTTTTAAAATGTTTCCAAGACAGTTTCTTAATGCGGCATTTTCTGGAACTGACGAGAGAACAGGTTACATTCAACTTTGTATTGTGTAATAATACTGGCTGCATTAATTAGCTCAGAGTAAGGGGACATCGAGGTCACAGCAATTACAACACAAGTGAATTTTATAATCCATTTGAACGGAAGAGAGGATCTAGACCTGTATTATAAATCTAAATGAGGACAACTATGTGGACATAAATACTAAGCTAGCTGGTGGACCTGTTATCCTCGGCTAGGCAACAGATCAATTGAAAAGCACAGACAGATATACAGTCAGAGTCATAGAGCGGTACAGCACAGAAACAGACCCTTCGGTCCAACTCTTCCATGCCGACAAGATATCCTAAATAAGTCTTAGTCCCATTTGCCAGCATTTGGCCCATATTGCTCCAGACCCTTCCTATTCATACACCCATCCAGTTGCCTTTTAAATGTTGTAATTGTACCTGCCTCCACCACTTCCTCTGACAGCTCATTGCATACATGCACCACCCTCTGCGTGAAAAAGTTGCCCCTATGACCCCTTTTAAATCTTTCCCCTCTCACCTTAAACATATGCCCTCTAGTTTTGGACTCCCCCAATCCCAGGGAAAAGATGTTGTCTATTTACCTTATCCATGCCCCTCATGATTTTATAAACCTCGATAAGGTCACCCCTCAGCCTCTGATGTTCCATACAAAACGGCCCCAGCCTATTCAGCCTCTCCCTATAGTTCAAACCCTCCAATCCTGGCAACATCTTTCTAAAGCTTTTCCGAACCCTTTCAAGTTTCACAGCACCCTTCTTTTAGCAGGGAGATCAGAATTGCACACAGTGTTCCAAAAGTGGCCGAACTAATGTTCTGTACAGCCGCAACATGACCTCCCAGCACCTATACTCAATGCACTGACCAATAAAGGCAAGTGTAACAAACGCTGCCTTCACTACCCTGTCTACCTGTGACTCCACTTTCAAGAAACTCTGAACCTGCACTCCAAGGTCTTTTTGTTCAGCAACACTCCCCAGGACCTTACTATTAAGTATATAACTCCTGCCCTGATTTGCCTTTCCAAAATGCAGCACCTGACACATATCTAAATTAAACTCAGTCTGCCACTCCTCAGCTGATTGGCCCATCTGATCAAGATCCCGTTGTACTCTGAGGTAACCTTCTTCGCTGTCCGCTGCACCTCCAATTGTGGTGTCATCTGCAAACATACGAACCATACCTCCAATATATGAGAGATTCTTCGACAATATGCAGAACAAGAATATTCCTGCTTTGAAGAGAAAGTCCAAGACGGGACCCAACATCTGTGTTAACTTGAATAAGTGAAGGACAACATCAAACCAATGGGCAAAGCACTTAATTTGAAAAGAGAGAGGGAGAGCTGATGATTGATGGGAACTGAATATGTTTTCAAAAAAGCCGAAGTGCTGAAGACATTGGGGACAACGCAAAAATGACCCAGACCCTGGAAGAAAATTCACATCAACAATGCTTCTAACAGTTTACACAGACTGAAAGGCAGATTTTAAATGTGCACGAAGGGACAAATGTGTTCACAAACGTTTGAACTGGGGACACTCAATCTGCACTCAAATGCACGCACACTGCAATGCAACGGGTAAATGCAAAGTTGTCTCACTTACTGAGTTTCAGTCATGCATTGGAACAGCTGGGCATCATGCCACTGATATGTGATCGGGTAAACAGTTCAACATAGAGAAGAACGTGTGAAGGTAATTGCCAACAATGTCAAAACACCCCTTCCTTACCTATCTGGTGTACACAGAATCAGTTATAAACACTGAATCACAGCTCAAATTCTGTCATGCTGCCTGCAAAACCAAAACAGACAGACATTCAGAGGAATCTCAGCATCTGCACGCAAGCATGCTATCATGGGCGATACCACGAATCCAAGGCAGTCTGTAATTATTTGATATTCAGAGCAGCCTTCAAAAAATTGGA